TCTTAAAACAAACATAAGACATTACAAAGCTTCTAAGTTGCATATATATTTATTCACTAACATCTTTGATAGGCAAATGATAGTAGCTAAATTAAAAAAGTTAAAGTAGCTTCGCATTCACACTCAGGTGAATATACGCTGTCCAATAATCTGCTGAAAAGAAACTGTGTGCTTCAACATGAATTTAACTTATTTTAATCAAGGAAATGATCGTTTTAGACGCAGGCTGGGAACAGGACTTTTATTTTGATTTATCTAGAATATCTACGTGACGTCATCAATCCGCGCCGCTCCTGCGAATGTTGTGAAGAGGCTTGAGAAAGGTTTGTTATAAAGCTTTTTTTAAATTAAGTTTAATAGATTTTTGTAGCGATTTCTTGCAGTTTGAGTCAATATAAACAAGTTGTTATATTTTTACAAGCGATGTCACGTGCCTGAACTGCTACTCTATTTAACATGCAGCGCTTTGAGTAACGTCATCAACGAAAACAAGCGAGTAACAGGAAAGCTGCGGCGCTGGACCCTCATATTTAAACACAATTTACACCTCAGTCGTATATAATCCGGAATAATGAGAACATTTAGTCTAAATTAAATGTATTATGTTTAATGTGTAGTTTTAAAACTCCACGCAAGTTTTCAATGATAGTGGTTTACATTGTAGCTACTCTGAGTTTTCAGTTAAGCACTGAATTCCTGTCAGCCTATTGACTTACTGAGGTGAAGCTGGTTTTATGTTTGCACATTTGGACATTAACCTTAATATAATTTCAGAAAAGTATTCTTTGCTAATAATAAATAGTGGAATCATATAAAACTATCATAGTACAACTTTGTTCACAGTCAATTAACTAGTGCTAATCTTGTTTTAAGTAATATTTACATGCTATACAAGACCAAACATTCAAAGTAGTGCATCACAAGTTCTTACTGTTCTAAAATGAACGAATATGTGAACATAAAACAAACTTTACCTCAGTAAAATACTTTGCTTTTGTTGCTGATGTCCAACAAGGTGTTTTTATTCTTTTTAAAGGACTTTCAATTACTTGTCATTTAGACCTTTGAAGAACATTTATCGGTAAACAATGCCTGGGATTGCCCTCAATTAATGACATTTATTCGCTTCTTTAAAAGTCCACGCACTGTGAATATAATAAAATAATATCACACATTAAGTGGAACAATAATACATACTTAATAGTTTTACTTAATAAAAGTTTTTGTCAGTATCTGAGTTAGATATAGTCTCAGAAGAGTCATTCAGGTTTCTAATTTGTAAATCAAATACAATTTTTCTTATTATTCATTTAAAAGCAATACATTAGAAAGCTTAAAGTTTATCCAAATCTTTAAAAATATACATAATAATTACATTTTCATATTATGTTCCTTAAAAAGTAACTACATTTAGTTACTATATTACGTCTTGTAAATGACAATATTGTGAGCTGTATCACTTTACAAAGTAGTTTTCAGTTGTGGTATGCTATTAATAAAATATCTTTAGAGCTTATTATTACTATCAGAGCTATCTATCGCAAACAACGCAATGCATTCTGGGTGTTTAGGACAAGTGAGCCTGATTCCCATTCATCTCTATTGATTTTTGTATCGTATGTACACTCATCAGTAGGCCAACGCTGAATCTGCACGCGCAGAATTCCGCAGATTTTTAGCCCATCATTAATTCTGTTAATATAATTTAGTAAATGTGTAAATCTGAATTTATTCAGTTTTTATTCAGTAATTTTTTGCTTTTTATTTCATATTTTAAGGTTTTAGTTATGATACTCCGCTGGATGCTCCCAAATTCCGCAGAAATCCGCAGATTTTTACCAAAATTCTCAGCAGAATTAGCAAAAAACGTCTGCAGATTACATCTGGCCCTGCTCATCAGCAATAAACCCTAAGTGCTCACATTTAGGCATGGCGATAACGTTTCAAGGTATACCGCAATTTGGAAAAGTCGAGGTTTTAAAACCATCACAATTTTCTGCAATACCGTTCCTAAGAGTAAGAGTAAGATTTTTTTAGCGTTGTCAAAATTAGTGCGTTAACGCATACGATTAATTTTAAATAATTAACGCGTTAAAAAAAATTACCGCAATTAAAGCAGTTGCAGGTTTTTTTTTACTTCCTGTTGTGGTGGACGTGTGTTCAACATGCAATAAATGTGGATAAGACCAAGGAAGCACTTTTTGAAGGCAAGTTCCAGTGTAAAACAATTAGTCGCATCACCAGGCTCTCCAAAGTTTCATGCAATTTCGAGTGTTTCATTTTTAACTTTAGACTTCTGTTGTAAGTTGATAACGCATGGCGAACAGAAAGAAAATCATTTCGCATGCGAAATCCGCATTTCGTGACTCGGTGTTCCTTTAAGGTAATAAAATCACTGCTTAGGCTACACGGTAGAATTTTAATAAGAGTATAATCTTAATCATATTGAAATCGGAGTATTGGTGTCTTTTAACAATTATATTTTGAATTATAATTCTATTAAACAATTATATTTTGAATTTAAATAGTTTTTGTCTTGCGTTTACATTAATTTTACATTTGAATAGCCAAAATTACAATTTTCAGTATTTTAAATGTGATTAATCGCGATTAATTTTTTTTTTTAAAGGTGCGATTAATTAGTTAATTTTTTTTATTCGATTGACACCACAATTTTTTTTTTTAACTTTTTTTTTTTTTTTTTTTTTGCTGTTGTTTTTTAGGACAACAGTATCTCCAGCAGACAAGATGCCGTTTTAAATTGTTTGAATTAAAACAAATAAAGACAGCGGAAGACAATAAAATATTTAGCCTGACACTTTTACTGTTCTAAAATATTATGAATGTTTCTCGAAATGAAATATACTGTGTTACAAAGGGAAATAAGTTTTAGTTTTTTACCCAGACGTTTAAAAAGAATATATTTTAGAGCAGTGATCACAATACCGCGAAACCGTGATATTTTTTATCCAAAGGTTATCATACCGTCAGAATCGTATACAATTAGGGGTGTCACGATTTCGATTTTTAATCGAAATCAATTGAAATTTATGCTCAATTTCGATTATCGAATCAAAAAATAGAATCATCGATGCTGCCACGCCCCCATGTCAAGTTAGCTTGGCTTGCCAAGCGGGAAAAAAACAGGCTTGTTGAAGTGCTTGTTGAACTGCAGAAGCAGGAGACCTGTCGACAGAACTTAAACCCTCTCCTCTTTCAATGAAGTCGCCGGTGTGTAAGCATTTTGAACGTTCGTGTTGTCGACAAAAAACCCAGTTTTGCAAGCTCTGCTATGTACGTATTATGTACGGTTCGTCCGATACACAACACCGGCATCGCGATCGTCCGCCTGCCCCCGTTGCAAATCCGCTCGCGAAAAGTTTACACTTAGGCCCTGTTTACACTGTCTTTGTTTTTAAATTTTTTTAATTTTAGAACGACAACGATTTGACATCCACAGTGGCGTGTAGCATTTCTGAGCAGCCCTCCTTCCTCTCTACCTCTGAAAATGCACATCACGTGACCACACAGACACAGACACACACAGCCATGCGCTCGAGACAGCAGGTCCAGGCAGTCAGAGGACTGCTTCAATCTTTCACTCACTTGTACTTAGTCATTTTAGCGAACACCTCAGATACTGTTGGCTGGTTCCTGTTGGTTGTGCCTCTTTTTTACCGACGCCATTATAACGGCACAGATCGCTGCCTATTCACGAGTCCCGCAGAAAAAAGTGATTGACGGGTGGTAATTATGTGTGTATCTTGCCTTTATTCATTTACTGTATGATTTGTTTATGGGTAAAACAAAGACCATGCAGGTCAGGTAGTTTAAACGGTAGGCTACAAATAATTAATTGGTCATTAATTGATTTATTATTCATAATCGAAAATCGAATCGTGACTTTAGAATCGAAAATGTAATCGAATCGAGGATTTGGAGGATCGTGACACCCTTAACAACAATATACTACAAATAATGAAGAAAATGGAGACAAAATGTATTGAGGTGAAGCTGCTTTTATATTCGCACATTTGGACTTCAACCTTCCTAATTTAACTTCAGTAAAGTGTTCTTTGCAAATTATAAATGGCGAAATCATGTTAGCTGCTAAAGACTATCAAAGTACAACATTGTTCTCGGTCCGTTATAACTAGTGCTAATGTTGTTTCGCAGTCGTATTTACCTGCTATATAAGACCAAACATTCAAAGTAGTGCTTCACAAGTTCTCACTGTTCTAAAATGAATGAAGGTGTGAATATAAATCCAACATTACTTCAATGCAGAATGTTATGGATTGCTTATTATTATTATTAGCCTCTATTCTGAGTGTTTGTGAGGTGTTTTCTAAAAGAAATAACTGTAAAACGGTCGTTTTCCGGTTGTGATTTGCATCTGTTTACATTGAGCGCCCACAAACATGGCCAACCACTACTTGCTGTGACCGAGACGTTCCTGAGCTCTTGAATTCTTTTAATTAGGATTTCTGCATTTTCATGTAGTTAAATATTTAAGTTTGATATGTAAAAAGTAGTCCGGGTGCTCCGGTTTCCCCCACAGTCCAAAGACATGCGGTAGTGGTGAACTGGGTAGGCTAAACCGTCCATAGTGTATGAGTGTGTGCGGATGTTTCTCAGAGATGGGTCTGCTGCGTGAAAACGCCCTGGATAAGTTGGCGGTTCATTCCACTGTGGCGACCCCAGATTAATAAAGGTCAATGTAAAATGTAGTTAATTTATTATTTTTAATTTGTTGTGATAGTACTTTTATTTTGTAGTTCGAATGATTTATGACTATTACCGCCGCCTTTGTGTGATTACAGCTATGGAAATTCAATGAGAACAATGAAAATGATTAATTAAAGCTTCTAACTGTACATGTACAGTTCACCTGAAGTGTAAACATAAGTCATACATCCCTAGATATCAATGTCTTCTGTTACATGGCTTAAATTGGTAGAGCTAGTTTTCAACGTTGTTGTTTTTTCTCACTCTAACAGGTGATAGAAGACTATTAATGACTGACTGAAACACCGGAAACCTGCTGAAGCGACTGGGCGAGTATAAAGATGGCGTTTATTAAAGAGGAGAGCGAAGACATCAGGATTGTAGAAGTGTTCACACTGAAACATGAAGATCCTGAGGAAGAAACAGGTTGGTTTTCGGAGCTCATCCGTATTTATGCTAGCAGACTTTGTAGCTGCCTGTCGCTCTGGGTGGTGAAGGTTTGTGTAGGTTTACAGCACGGAGAATACAACCAGCCTCTGCAGGAGCTGAGAGAGGATCACGTGAGCTCTTCTGGTGCTCCTATTGGCTGTCGCTCAAGAAACTTGCTCTGCGTTTGCTCAACTTTGTTGCGTCCCCAACGATTTCTGTCGCTTGTGTAGATGTAGGTCGCCGGAAGTCGCTCACTTTTTGTTGAAATGAACGGTCGCTTTGCCTCTGAGAGTCTCTTGTAGTGTGAATGAGGCTTAATGCTGATATTTCTGCTGTGCTGGATATGGAGAATAACAGGTTGTTTGTTGCAAAATGAACATTGATTGATGCTTAATAGTAGTAATGCCATCATACACACATAATTAAAGTGTAAAAGGTTCTACATATTCTAAAGGTGCTCTAGTGACAGTCGCTAGAGGCTATGGTCTTTAGCCTCCTTGGTAGAGCAACGGACCATACGCAAGGTCGCTGGTGCGATCCCAGCTTGGAGGAGGTTGGGTGACGTAGGACTGGCGGGGTTACAATTAAATAAGGAAAAACCTAAAAAAATCAAAAAGATTTAGTCCTTAATAGGTTGCAAAATCCGTCAGTAAACAGTCTGGAAATAATAGGGATGTAACGGTATCAAAATTTCACGATATGGTAATACCTCGGTATGAATGACACGGCACGGTATTTATTGAATCATTTTAAGGAAAAACAAAACTATTTAAGAGACTCAAAAAAAAAAGTGCTAGAATGTTCAGGTTACCTCTACACTGAACAGATCAATGACATTCAAACAGGAACTTAAATTATTCAAATTTAATAACAAAAAATATTAAACCATGTAAAAAAAAAAAAAACACCCCTCGAAAGGACAAGCCATGTGTGAGATAGAGGTCTCTTGGTGGTTCAAGTCAATGTCTCCATCGATCTGAGCAGTGTGCTTTTTTCTGCTGTCCCCTTGACTAAAAGAATCCCCGTCATGTTAGTCGTATTCCCCGACTTGTATTTCAGCACAGTCTGGCAGTGCCTGCATACCCTTTTTTTCTTTTCTTCTTTCTTGTTTCTTTTCAGAGAGAAACTGAAATGCTTCCACACCCGATTTAAAACCCGATTTAGGTTTGACAATTTTTAGCTCTTTCTCTTTGCCGCTACTAGCAGCACCCTCCATTTCTGCATTACTGGATCAGTAGCGACAACAGTCCGCAAAGGATGATGGTCACGCCTGGACTGATGAAAACTGTAGTTTCTGCTACCTCCCATTCGCTCCATTCGCCTGAGCAAACTTTTCACCAAAAGACCTATAATTTTACTGAGTCACAACCACGGTAATATTGAAAGAAATTGCTATTGCGGTATGACGGTATTTACAATATTGTTACATCCCTAGGAAATACATATTATACAGTTCAAGGACGAAGAGTAGAGACGGTCGCCTTTCGGCGTTTAACAGAAAACTCAAAATGACCAAATGCCTAGGAAATAATCTCCTTTTTCGTATGAAACGACTTTTATTGTTTGTAAACCGAGATATGACGACAGCTGAGCAGAGTTGCGTGTAAGGCGTTCCTGTATTCTAATTCCATTTTGGGGGAACGCAATGTGATGAATTACATTTTAAATGTGTACATAATTTGATTACAGTTACTAAAGGCAATGTATTTGTGTTACCTATGTTACAATTATAGTTTTAAGATGAAAAAATGCTTCTTTTAAATCACGTTTTCTGCTGCAACATCAGTTAATGAGCATGCGCTTTTGAATAGCTGGAGAGCGCGAGCTGAAAGGGTTGCTGTTGAGAGCGGTTGCTTCTTCAAGTGGAAATACAGACATTGAGCGTAAAAACAGGAATATTGCTATGAAATGCTGTCTATGTCCAGCCTCTAAAGAACCTAAAGACTGCTTTTAACTCGACTAGCAACTTTTTCAAACATTTGAACAGAAAGCATTCTATAACAACTAGGGTTGGGTGTCGTTTGGGGTTATTTCGATACCGGTGCTAAATCGCTACTTTTAAAACGATACCGGTGCCTGAACTGATACTTTTAGGCCACAAAATTATGGTGGATGACTCCAGAAAAATCTTTTATTTAACAAAATCTTTAAGAAAATAATTTTAATAAAACAATATAATTAAAATTTTAAAGTAAACATCAATTCATATTTTATTTATTTGAATTACTTTAAAACATTTCCTTTGATCATTTGTTGGTTAGCATGAATTTAAGATTTGCATTATGAAATGACGTTAGCTTACTACTAACCTGTGGAAAGGCTGTCATCAAAATACCGTACTCCTTTTTTCTAGGGTTGGGGCTTGCGACTATGTTTACATGGTTATCAGTAATCTAATGATTTACCTTGATCTGAAAACTTACGAGTTGAATATGACTTACATAAGCGTGACTGAAAACTACATTTGATCAATGTCTTGCATCTGATCTTTGGTACTTGCTGACTGTAAATTCAAGACTGCATTTCCAAACGTAAAACTATTGTACACTAGATTTCTGATTAATAATGGTCTCTGCATAGCCGAGGACTTCCTATATTAACAGTGTTAAAATCGCAATTACCCGTGTCAATTTGGGCGTCAACCTCTGACGAATTCGAGGAACTAAGCTAATGCACGCAGCATTGTCACTTATAAACGCAGACCAACTTCAAAAGAACAGGTACCACGTGTCCCTATAATAGACTTTATTGGCTTTCTTGTGGAAAATCAGCCACCTTTACGAGGGAAATTATCATATCTGAGGGAAGCAGCAACCTTTTATTCATTGCTGGACAAGGCAATCAAAAAGCAACTGTTAACTGTAGGGTCACGTTAGCGGGATTGAAAACAGGAACAAAAACAGGTGTAGGATCCAAGTGCAGATTTTAATAAAGGATCGTGCAGCAAACAGAAAAACAAGACGTCCAAACTGCAAAGTAACAAATAAACAACAAAACAAGAAACTACGACAAGTATCAGGATTAGGAACAAGGAAATAACAAACTCGATATACAAGACTTACTAGGAATGCAGACAAGATAGACAAACGACGCAGTGACGAACAGTGGGTAAATGGTTGTATAAATAGTCCAGGAAATCAACAGGAAACAGGAACAGCTGTGAATGGCCAATCAGTGTAAGTGAACCGGGTGTAATGCATGTGGGATGTATGGACTTGTAGTTTTTGGGCGCTGTAGTTCACTCTCAGAGTTTGTTGAACTACAGCGCCCTCAGGTGGTTATTGACAGTCATGCTACTGCTGAAATGGACAATGCCCAAACACTGACAGATCCTTCTGAACAATCTTGGAGGAGATCACATCTGCAAGAGCCCTTGGTACAGAACAATAGAAGCTGTTGGCTCGCTGAGAGAAATAACTGCACCCAGATTCTTGTTCATTGTGAACCTTGAGCTCAAAGTGCTCGCATTGTTGGATCCACCAAATAAGCTTCTGCAGAGGGGGGACACTGAACTTTGGAAAGGTCTAGGCATTGTGACAAGTGTGAAAATGTGAATCCAGTAACTTTTTTGTGATGAGGGATTTACACAAGTGTGGAAGAAAGCCAAGGCTGCTGCCAATGTGCTGTCGATAACCACAACCTCAAAGCGAAGACACATGGGGTACAAGAATATGAGCAATTACTTGGCTGAAGAAATGACAGGTCAAAGTGAGGGTGATGTGTATGTATATATGTGTGTATGTAGAATATTTTGTGTAGACTGGTCAGTTTAAATACAAATATGCCGAACTCACCAGAATGTCTGCCTCTCGCAAGTATGGGAAGTTGGTAACCCACATGGCTCGCAGAATCCCATGGCTGAAATCTCCAAACCGGTTATCCATTGTCTTTGACAGCAGGTCTATGGCATGGTCTTTGGACTTATCTAGGGTGTAGTCATCACATGGCTTTAGGCTGACACCCTTATTCTGGTTTGTTTCCAGCACTGTCTTTAGTTTAGGCTCAGGTCTTCAATCCATGACCCCAAAGCAAAGACTCGTAGGGGACAAGAATATGGGCGATTACTTGGTGGAAAACTGCTTTAGACTGGTCAGTTTTAATACAAATATGTCGAATTCATCAGCTTTATTGTCTTCCCCTGGCAAGTATGGGAAGTTGGTAACCCACATGGCACGCAGAATCCCATGGCTGATATTTCCAAACCGGTTTTCCATTGTCTTTGACAGCAGGTCTATGGCGTGGTCTTTCGACTTATCTAGGGTGTAGTCGTCACATGGCTTTAGGCTTACATGCTCATTCTAGTCTGTTTCCAGCACTGTCTTTAGTTTAGGCTCAGGTCTTCAATCCACGACCCCAAAGCAAAGACATGTAGGGGACAAGAATATGGGCGATTACTTGGTGGAAAACTGCTTTAGACGGGTCAGTTTTAATACAAATATGCCGAATTCACCAGCTTTACTGTCTTCCCCTGGCAAGTATGGGAAGTTGGTAACCCACATGGCACGCAGAATCCCATGGCTGATATTTCCAAACCGGTTTTCCATTGTCTTTGACAGCAGGTCTATGGCGTGGTCTTTCGACTTATCTCGGGTGTAGTCGTCACATTGCTTTAGGCTTACATGCTCATTCTAGTCTGTTTCCAGCACTGTCTTTAGTTTAGGCTCAGGTCTTCAATTAACAACCTCAAAGCAAAGACACGTAGGAGGCAGAAATATGGGCGATTACTTGGTGGAAAACTGCTTTAGACTGGTCAGTTTAAATACAAATGTTTCAGACTCACCAGCATTACTGTCTGCCTCTGGCAAGTTTGGGAAGTTGGTAATCCACATGGCTCGCAGAATCCCATGGCTGATATCTCCAAACCGGTTTCCCATTGTCTTTGACAGCAGGTCTATGGCGTGGTCTATAGACTTATTTAGGGTGTAGTCGTCACATGGCTTTAGGCTGACACCCCTATTCTGGTTTGTTTCCAGCACTGTCTTCAGTTTAGGCTCAGGTCTTCAATCCATGACCTTAAAGCAAAGACATGTAGGGGACAAGAATATGGGCGATTACTTGGTGGAAAACTGCTCTAGATTGGTCAGTTTTAATACAAATATGCCGAATTCACCAGCTTTACTGTCTTCCCTTGGCAAGTATGGGAAGTTAGTAACCCACATGGCTTGCAGAATCCCATGGCTGATATTTCCAAACCGGTTTTCCATTGTCTTTGACAGCAGGTCTATGGCGTGGTCTTTCTACTTATCTAGGGTGTAGTCGTCACATGGCTTTAGGCTTACATGCTCATTCTAGTCTGTTTCCAGCACTGTCTTTAGTTTAGGCTCAGGTCTTCAATTAACAACCTCAAAGCAAAGACATGTAGGAGGCAGAAATATGGGCGATTACTTGGTGGAAAACTGCTTTAGACTGGTCAGTTTAAATACAAATATGTGGGACTCACCAGCATTACTGTCTGCCTCTGGCAACTATGGGAAGTTGGTAATCCACATGGCATTCAGAATTCCATGGCTGATATCTCCAACCCGGTTTCCCATTGTCTTTGACAGCAGGTCTATGGCGTGCTCTTTGGACTTATTTAGGGTGGAGTCATCACATGGCTTTAAGCTGACTCCCTCATTTTGGTTTGTTCCCAGCTACTTTAGGTGACTGTGTCTTAAGGGATTACTAAATTACTACAAATAATTAACTTTTTTATGAATTCATGTACGATTTATAACTTCTTACCTGTATCAGCTTACTATACCTGCTCTAGGTCGAGTATAAGTCCCTTGTAGCCTCTCAAATTTTTTTGAATGGCTCACAGAATATGTGAAACCTACCACGTTCCTTCTATTCTCCTCGAAGATTTTTCTCAACTGTGCCCTGGTTCACAGAGCTCTTGTGATAAAAAGAATACAGGCTGTTAAGCATATGGTCCACTTTCATGGCAAGACTGTTTTGGGATATGGGAATACAATATGCCAGTTTGGACTGAATATCCGAGACCTCTTGTTGGCCTCAAGACCTCAGGATTGGTTTTTCTGTTGCTGTGGTCGGTGAGGTTGATATCCATGCTGGAAATGGTGTTTGCTTGTGTCCGCCAAAGTAGATCCAACAGAGGCAATCGACAAACTTAAAGATTCCAAATAGGAATTCAGCAGTGCAGTGAGTTCGGCAGTAATGTATTTTTTCTTGATCTATCCAACTCGCTGATGAGTTTGTCAGTTGTTAGTGTGGTTGAAACGTCATATGCGATGTCTCTATCAGGATCAAGATGACAAACCTTGGTCTGAAAGTTGTGTTTACTCCCCACTAGAGTTCCTTTGCTCATTGAAACAGGGTGATTGATCCAAAATACACTGTTGAAAATTAACAAATTGAAAAATATATATATTTTATATACAAAAACCAATGAAAACTGCTGACACCACACATTCCTCTACTGCATAATCAAACTGATTGTAGCGTCCTGGTTAAAAGATGATTAAGTCTTTAACTGATTGTTCACGATTCATTTATTGGTCACATTCCATTACACAACATTGCATCATGAATCACCGTAAGAACTAGAGAGAATTCTTAAACGAATTAAATCAAGTTACCTTATTTTCCCTTAAACCAGGAGCTAAAACTCATAAACAGGGAATCCGTAAATTAGCCATATACTTGTGCCTTTTTGCCATGTTTCACCTAGCATTTCATGCCTGGCGAGCTTTGCTTTACGTAGATTGGTACATTTGTCATATAAGCAGTTGGCTTTGCAATCTCGGTATCATAATTAAAGTCCCCAACGATAACTTAATTCATTCAGCAAAATCAAACCATATACAAAATAAAACAAAGTGAAGTTTAATATGTTAAACTAATTTAGAGAAGAGTACGCGCTCATGATTGACCCAGCTGGCTCGTATTAGCTAATCACGATCCTCCAATCAAAGGATCCTAAGTTCCTATATATATCCTTTTTTCTCTCTACAACTATCTTTGTCTTAAAGAAAACTCCCCTCCTCCCACCTTTACCCAGAACAGACAGCATGGTGGCCCAGCAACCAGCAAGAATTCCAATGGCTCTGGCTCCTTGCTGGAACATCTGGCGTTTCTGCTTGGAGCTGGTGCTTTCTTCCTGTTTCCCGGGTTCCCCGGTTTCAAATACGGCGTACATTATGGACCAAATACACCTAAGTCTCTTACCAGACGTCTCACTCTCGGGAAGTTCACCTTGGCCTTAGCTGCAGGGGAGTTTTGAGATCATCCTGAGCTCAATCTCCCCTCGCCCCCCACAAAGAGAGAGAGCCCTGGACTCGAGGATCCCTTGAGCTCAGGGCTCTCTCCCGGGACAGCATGCAAAACACGCTATTGTAAATCATGAGTTCAGTGTGAACTCTTGAAACAACAAAAAATCGAAATCATAAACAATAGTGTGACGCATTTCACGGTTCATTACACTGGTGGTCAGTTTATCCATGTGAACGTGAAGAGCTAAAAATAAGACATTCTTAGTTTACAGATAACCCATCTTGTTGGCTTTGATATCTAAAGCAGGCATGTTCAGACTCGTTCCTGGAGGGCTGATGTCCTGCAAGGTTTAGTTCCAACCCCAATCAGACACACCTGAGCTAGCTAATCAAGCTCTTACTAGCCATTCTAGAAACATCCTTGCAGGTGTGTTGAAGCTAAAATCTGCAGGACGCCGGCCCTCCAGGACCGAGTTGGGACACCCCTGGTCTAAATGATATTATGTTGATCTTCAAGTCGGTTGCTTTGTGCATTTAAACTGTGGCTACCTTTTTTCCTTCAGGTCTGATGGAGCTGAAAGAAGAGACTCAAGAGCTTAATGAAATGGAGGAAGTAGATTCGCAACATGATTTAAGGACTGACGAAGAATCCACAGAAGGAGTTCAGGAGACCGAATCTAATTTCAAGTGCTGTCACTGCGGGAAGTGTTTCAGCAATGAACAAAACCTTGAAATCCACATGAGGAATCAGAATGGAGAGAAGCCTTTTATCTGCAAAAAGTGCGGAATGGGTTTTTCCCAAAACCGAAAGCTTCACGTTCACATGAGAATTCACACGGGAGAGAAACGCTTTCCCTGCCCGCAATGTGGAAAGTGTTTCACTGTAAAATACAGCCTCCGAGTGCACATGAGAGTCCACACTGGAGAAAACCCTTACACTTGTCCTGAGTGTGGAAAAGGCTTTAAACAGAAAAACAGCTTTAATTACCACATGAGAACTCACAAAGGTTAGAGATCTTTCACCTGTCAATGCTCTGTATAAAACACCCCTGCAAAAAAAAAGTGTTATACGTGAAAATGTATAAAACGTTAAACCTATTATCAGTGTTGAAAATTTAGATAGCTAAGCTATTAGTTACTCTACTTAAAATGTAGTTTAGCTACACTAAAACTTAAACCCTGGGAAATGTAGCAAGCTAAGCTAAAAGCTACATGGCAAATGTAGCTTAGCTACATCTAAGCATCTGTTTTTAAATCGAAGCAACTTCAATCTAAGTCAGTCCTGTCTTGGTGATCAATAACAATGCAATCGAAACCTGCGGATAATTGTTAAGTTCAGTTATTTAGGGCAATTAATATGCTGTACCAAAAAAAAGCAAATTACACTAGACAGCAAAAACTAAAAATTCACGAAATCCAGGAAACAGATGTTGCACATTTAAAATACTATAGTAATGTATAGTAAAGCGACATGCATAGGAAAGTGTATTATAGTATACAACTCTGTTGATGTATTCTACTACATTGTATATTATTATCATGAACTAATAGTAATTAACATAGTACACCTTAGCTTTTACTACATTAAAAAATAAACTGTAGAAAACTTAGCACAATATAGGGTTATATATAGGGTTACATTTACTATCTTACTATAGTTGTTGTATTGCAACTAACAAAAATACCACAGCAAATTAATTCAAGTAATTTTCTATCCGCTTGTTAAGTGTGACGTCACGCGAAGGGGCTTCCGGGTCCAAGCGATCTTTGAAACTGAACGGGAAGACTCTTCAAATGGTAATAATAAACGCTTACAAAGTGATGTAATGCTTTCGAAAATCATGATCTCAATATATATATATATCCATGCCTAATATCCAATGGCCAAAAAGTGATTCATTTTTTATAAACTTAAAATTTTGGTGTTTAGTAAGTCCAGAGACGGACGTGTACCCTATGATTTTATATTAAATTAACTTTAATGTGTAATAGGACTAAAAAGTGGCCATAAACGAATATTTTCTCAATTCAAATGAGCGGCTTGAACCTGGAAACAGTATTCCACACGTCACCAATGCGTCACGACTTAGGCGGATAGTATTGTTCAAAAACTCTATAGTATTTTTAAATACTGTATTTACGTTAAATTACTATAGTATTTTTTTCATGTAAGTGCACTTGGGCACATTTGCAGAACAAACAGCGATTAAATTTAAATGGCCATGCTTTAGAAATAGTTCCTCTACAGTCATCTTTCAATCACGCAATTTTCTCAAGTCAGCCCAATGATTGATTGGCGACGTCACCGACTAGAGCAAGAGGTGGCAGTAACGTACCAAAAGGTTTGTTGTCGACCACCGTAAAACACGAAGAAGAAATCAACATTCTCGCCATCATATAGATTTACTTTCATCGGCCTCACAGCTCAGTGAATGGCGTCACCTAATGATCCACGTTCGTTAGATGTAGCTTGTGTGGACGATACTGCGCTACTTGTTCATAATAATAGCTTCGCTACTGAAAAGCTATTTGATTTGAAAGTAGCGGTGCCACCATCACCAGCCTGAACTGTTGATACAAATCAGAATGGATCCATGCATTCATGTTGTTGACGCCAAATTCTGACCCTACCGTCCAAATGTCGCAAGCAGAAATCGAGACTTATTAGACCAGACGTTTTAAGCTAGTTAAGTAGTTAAGCTAGTACAGTCACTACTTGTTGTCGCTACTGCCCAACACTGGCTATAATGCAAAAATCACTTTTGCAAAGGGTTGTGTGGCAACAGTCTTTGATTATAACCATTTTCTAATGGTAAAAACCTAATATTTCATTTTTTTTTATAATCACACATCATAAAAACAATCTACAAAAACACTTTGTACGATTGACATTCTCTCTTTGCACATGTCTTGGCTAAAGCCCCGCCTATTAGGACGATCTCTCCCTCATTAGCATAAGACGTTAGTCTTGTTTTTGAATCAGCCACTACGCTGACACACAGGCATTTGTAGCTCCGCCCTCTTTTCTAAAATATGTCTGGGAGCACAATCTCATTTGAATTTAAAGCGACAGTCTCCAAAATGTGACAATTAGCCACAAGTAGCGTGGCGGTAGAGTCGCTAGTTTCAAAATCAAATAGCTTTACAGTAGATACAAGCTATTACTATAAACAAGTAGCGTAGTAGCATCCACACAAGCTACGTTTAACGAACGTGGATCATTAGGTGTCGCCAGCACCATTCACGGAGCTGTGAGGCCATTAAAAAGTCCAAAACCGCCTACTACTCAGCAGGGACAGCATTTGAATTTAAACGTACCACTCGGCCATTAGAAAACTACGTTCTATACAGTATGATGTGAAAAGTATGAATGGAATTCGGACGTACTACATCCGCCATTTTGTCATGGTCACATGACCTACCTGCGTCAGTTGCTTCACTTCCATCCATGAATTCTCTCGCGGGGCATCATGGGATAGCGCAGCTTGCATGTGATGCACACTTCAAAATCTCGCCGGAAGTAGTAAGTCATCCGGGTACTCCTCAAATACTGATTTTCGAATTCGGACATACTACTTGGCTCGCATACTGATTTTAGCATACTGTATAGTATGGAAGTATGCGGTTCAGACGCAACCAAAATTATGGCGAGAATGGCGATTTCTTCTTCTTCATCTTTTACGGTGGTCGACAACAAACGTTTTGGTGCGTTACTGCCACCTCTCGCTCCGCTCCGTGATGTCGCCAATCAAACATTGCGCTGACATGAGAAACTTGCTTGATTAAAAGATGACTGTAGAAGAATTATTCCCGACGCAGGACTATTTATTCAGTGTTTGTTTTGCAAATGTGCATTAGTAAACTTACCTGAAAAAATACTATAGTAATTTATTGAAAATACAGATATTAAAATATTTAAAATACTATAAGGGCTTTTGAACAAGACTATAGGGAACTACATGAATTAATTTGCAGTGGTATATTTGTGAAAGCAAAGAGTTATAAAAAGTTATTTCTGGAATATTTGTGGAATATTCTGGAATATCTTCACATACATGCTCTAGGGGACCATTATAAACATTATTGGGTGTAAAGACTCTCATTTCAGGTGATTTACGTTTTCACGTATAACACTTATGAAGAAAAGCTGAACTGTAAAAGACACTTTTTAGTATAATACTGTATGATTCAGTTTATATTTATATTAGTTTATCCAATCCTAAAGAAGCTGTTTACACCTGGTCACTTCATGCTTTTTTTCTGGTTGGATAGTGGTCTGATGGTGAAAAGTACAGGTGTAAATACAATCTGAAACACATTCAAGACGGATAAGTAAAGCCACTTCAGGAGGTGCTCTGGGACATATTCCAGATGAATCTGGACAGGTCTAAATGCATCTGGTTGCTAAAACAACATATGTAAATAACTCCTTCCAAAATTACAAAAAATAAAATAAAATAAAAAAAAATGAACAGGAATGTGTTATTATGGCCCATATTACAAAGTCAGATCTAAGACCGCTAATGCAACACAACAGTTGATATTTAGATATTTTTTTCAGTTTTTTCATTTCATTCTATTTTTGACCATTCATTAGTTGTTAAATTAATATAAATGGCAACATTAATTGCAGAAACCCAGCACGCAGGGCCGGCCCGTGGCATAGGAATTATAGGCAAATGCTAAGGGCGCCGTACATCCAGGCGGCGCCAGAAATGGGGGAGGAAAAAAAATGTGTAACTTCCGCTATTCTTAAAACTAGCACATATTACGACTTCAGAAAAGAATAAGACCACTTTTATTCAAATGCATAGCAAAGCTTACTAAGTAGTAGTAGTAGTAGTAGTCATACCTGTGATCCGAATGTTGGCAGGTATGGTAGTAATAATAATAATATAGTCGCTACTTGCCTAAGACACGCCCCATTCAGAATAATTAAGGGCCGTGCACATCGAGATATTTTTATTGCTTGCGTTTTCCGTCAACGTTTAACGCCTCGTGATTGTGCACACCAATGCGCAAAACGGCAGGTGCAAAAAAAGTCATTTAAAAAAAAAACAACGCCTAATGCTTGTTTTTTGTTTTGACGTGCTGCGTCAAAACATTCTCCACCAATCCTATTGGCACTTTTGTTCACGTGCACGCAGCTGCTGAAGTTACAGTAAACGGCACTTGGAGGCGCTCAAGCGCAAAACTGTCAATGTGAGCGCACATTGAAGAAGAGTCTTCTTCTTCTGTGTTACAAGCGGGTTGTCAGAAGTTGTGTAGCACCATCTAACGTCATACTCTTCTGCTCGACGCCAGTGAAAATCGCTTGGGTTTGAATCCGGAAAAACGGCTTAAAATGCTGACGATATACGCAAACGAAAAGCGTCCTGGTGTGTACGAGCCTTTAGGCTGTAATAACTTTCCCCAAACCCTTTTCCCTAACTTTCTGAATGAAATGGCTACTTTACTGCATCCAATCAGCTCGCAGTAGTAAAAACTTACTTTACCTGGTCATTTTGTTTATGAGTCAACAAGGTCAACATGTCCTTTTCGACAGTTTGGGACATTTTGACATGAAAGACAGAGGTAATGTTACGATAAATATTATTATTTTGCCCTATCTGAACGATATTGATAACTGCCTTTTACAACTAGCATGACACATTTGGCAGCCTTCCCGTTTTTGCCTGCTATCATTTCGTTTAAGTATTTTCCTGTATTTCCCCCCGTATGTTTAATCTTTATATGAAAAGTAAAAGTACCGTCAACCTAAAACCGATCTCAAATGTGATGTAATTGCAAGAGCTGTTCAAGAGAATTGTGCTTGTGCTTTATTTTGGCTTGAAAGCACGTTAAAATGAATCGAAAAACATCTACATTTACTTTCTTTCCATCAAAGCTGTGCGTTTATCATCGCAATCTCAGATGTGCTGCTGAGGTTTCTCAGTCCCACCGTTGCAAATCCTTCTTTCTAAGTATTTTGAATGTGCAATTGCTTTATTTAAAGAAAAGAATGTCCAAGACAAATCTGTTTAGGTTCTTATGAGTATTATATGTCACTACCAGTAGAATTTATTGTGATGTGATGGGGCCCCACTTTAAATCCTGCCTGGGGCGCCACTTTAAATCCTGCCCAGGGCGCCAAATTGGTTAGGGCCTGTCCTGCCTCTCTGTAGAAAAAAAGATGTACATTTTTTGAAAAATATACAATTCATTTAATAAGAAAAACTTGTTTTGGGGAGAGTAGATTATACACAAATGAATGTAAACCCTTCACATTTTTGAATGACCAGATATAAAAGAAAGTGACGTGTTAAAAACAAGGCATTCTGAGATTACAGCACCTCTTTAAAACAGCTGAGTGCTTATTAGATCCAACACATAACATGTTTAAACTTTCAGACTTAAAGGTTTTGCGTTTAAACTGGGGCTGACTTTTTTTCTCTCTCTTCAGGTCTGAAAATTGTAGAAACAGATTCAGTCGAAGTGGACATCTAAAAGTCGTCTTGAGAGTTTCCACTGGAGAGAAGCCTTACATCTGGCAGAAGTGCGGAAGGCAGCAAACCTTCAAGTTCAAAAGAGAAACGTTTTGCCTGCCGACAATGTGGAAAGTAAAAACTCCCTCTAGTACTACATGAGAAATCTCAAACGTTAAAGATCTTTCAGCTGCCAACAGTGTGGAAAAAGGGTCCCGACAAAACAAAATACAACACAAGTGTGGTGAGTGTCACACGTGGAAACTAACTAAAGGAGATTACATTAGTTTTCATGGGTAACACTGGTGTTGTTTTGAAAAGTGCTGAAAGTGAAGGAGTCAGGAAGGTGGAGGTTAATACTCGTATGCAAAGATGACCAATCTCTCAGCTGAAATTTATGAAGGGATTCTGGAAAGTATCCGAGCAATACATCGTTTTGAGTCCTACCTTCAGACTGTGGAATTATAAATGTGTAATATCTGGGAATATAAACTGACAAAGTTATACAGAGTATGTGTGTTCAGGCTTCCTAGTTGTAGACAGTAATATTTACCATTTGGCAGGGTCCCAAAGTAATGCAAATGCTAATTTCAAGGACGCTGTGCCTTAGGCCCCATTTACACCGGCAGTTAAATGTGACCCAATTCTGATTTTTGGGTTATATGTGACACAGATCGGATCTGGTCTCTGACCGTGTAAACAAGAAGAAAAAAAAACATTCGGATATTCAGAGATCTGTTTCAGGCCTTCTTCATATGTGGAACAGGCAAAAAACAGGCAAATCGGATTTATTAAGGCATTCCGTTTTGTACATCATTAAACTTGCGACAGTGTGGTACTTCTCCGTGGTTTAACGATGTAGTAATGATGTAATGAAGGAAGAGCATGTGTGGAGACGCCAACGCAGTAAACAACAACAGAGGAAACATGGAGGAGGATAGTGGTCAGTGGTCGACAGCAGAAGTTACCTGCCTTCTTGCCCTGTGGGGAGATGAGTAAGCGAAGGACTCCATTTATAAACCATAGGTACAAGCTGCGATGACGGCCCTTTCCCTCCTCCTCCGCCTCAAAATCATTTTAAAGTTCGGCGAACTTCATATTTCGCAGAGCTAAAAGCAAGACAATTTCTTCCATTGTGGCTAGTGTGGTGCGGATGCTAGAACCCACCTTTACGCATACACGATGTCGTAAATTGTATGGCAAGTGTAAACGCGTGAATCGAATATGGGTCACAATTAAAAGAACGTGTAAACGGACAGGCAACGATATCAAACATAGGCAGCAAATCGGAATTGGTCATCAAGACCTGACAGTGTAAACAGGCCTTTGTGTCTATGAAGTTTGGGGCAATACTGGTACCGTATTGATACCGTTATACTGATGAGTTCAGGTCTGGGGAAGTCTGTCACCGGGCTGACTCTCCTGTACTTCATTTGCATGCTTTAAGATTTGTGTCCACCTCTATCTATCACATCCCGCTAAAATGTGTAAAATACAGAGCAACACTGCACTATATAGCGTTCTCGATGACTGTAGTGGTGAGTTTTCAATAAAAATCCTGCTTCGAGAAACCAGAGAGTCTCCTAGTCGTCACTTCTGAGTTTACAAGAAGATCCTGAAGAGGACTACTTTCTGATGGAAAATCAGGTATGGCATCAAAGGAGTTCAAAGAATAAACCAACTTAAAGCTT